CCTCCTGATGCCCAACACCCGGGGACATGTCTCCCAAGTGCCCACCTCTCCCAGACTTAACCCTCCAACTCCCCTACCCCCACCCAGCTCCGGGGCCACAAAGTCAAACCAAGTTCCTCCTCTGGACCTGCTCTTCCTCCTATATCCCTGCATGGCCAGCACTCACCATCCATGAGGACAACCCCACGCCCTTTGCCTGCTCCCTCTCCTGCAAGCAGTGGTGCACTCAATCCACTTAATCAAGTCCAGCAGATTCTGGCTGTGACAGGGCTCTCCAGGCCCCTCCCACTGCTGCTGCCAACTCCTCCAGCCCTTCGTCCAACACTTGGATGTTGACCAGACAGGGCTGACTCGCAGGTCCTCTGGGGGCCAGTCTCTCTCCTTGGCACAATTCATTGCTCTGTATTTGGGGGTTCCTATGCTAAGACTGCAGGGTCCCCCGTGCTGGTCAGCCTCAAGTTTGCATGTCGGGTGCTGTGGTCCATACCAGTAACATGCTCTAGAGGCCAAGGCAGGGGAGGTGGCCACAGCGCCATCCTGTGGTCATCACACCCACAATGCTCTCAATTCTGAGGCACTTAGTTTCTTCAAGATCAAAACTAATCAGTTCCAAAAATATGCACATGATAAAAGAGGGGTCAGGAGGTCAAATAAATTGGGAAGCACTGAGTTAAACACTAAACAGACTTACTCTTATTGATAACAAGCCTTCTCAGAGCCTTTAACAGAACATTGAGAATCAGGATTCCACAAAGAGGAAGGAGGGGAACAGACCATTTGCAGCCTGTCCCAAACCCACTTGGCAACAGAAGGCTTTTTATCACAGGGTACCTTCAGGTTCCATGGAGCACACTTTGGGAAACACGGAGGTAGAAATCTTCCATGATCCCTTCCAGCTCTAATGCTCAAAGATTCTTTGAATAAAAATATTGGCTGACAGGCTGAATTAAAAACCCAAGAGCATGGTTGTGGATTGACAAATATTTCTATCATAGTAGGAACAAAATACATACCTAAGTAATTTCTGCACACGAAACCCAACATGACATAGAAACCACTTAGTTTGAACACATAAATCACTTTGCCTTTGTTTTTTGCACCCAACAGAGGCTAAGTCAAGAGTCCTGAGTATGCAAGCAAGCAGGGCCACACATCCAGGGGACACAAGGTCCTCTAGGGTAGTCCTTTCCTCTGCATCATGAGGAAAGGACAGCCAAGAAGTCACTAACACAAAGACACTGAAAAATTAACTGTAAATGAACAGCAAATTGAAATGTGAACACAAAACTTAAGTAGAAAATCTGTGGGACCCAGGGCTAGGCAAGCAGCTCTTAGACTTGACATTAAAAGCAGAGTCCATAGAAGAAAAACGGACACATCAAACTTCATCAGAATTAAAGCTGCTGCTCTGTGAGAGTCCCCGTTAAAGGGGTAAAATGACAAGCTGTAGTGGGAGAAAATACCTGCATACCAGAATCTGACAAAGGAATAATATGTAGAGTATACAAAGAACTCTCAAGTGCAACAGGAGAAAAGCAAACTGCATTTAACTTTTTAAAAATATGTTTTTATTGATTTCAGAGAGAGGAAGGGAGAGGGAGAGAGAGAGAGAAACATTGATGATGAAAGAGTCATTGATCGGCTGCCTCCACGCTCCCTACTGGGGATCGAGCCTACAACCCAGGCATGTACCCCAACAAGGAATCAAACCGTGACCTCCTGGTTCATGGGTGAACGCTCAACCGCTGAACCACACCGGCCAGGCGCAAACTGCATTCAGAACATGGGCAAAAGGCCTGGAGAGATTTTCACCAAAGAGGGACCTCAGGGCTAAGGGACACATGAAAACATCACTGACCATTAGGGAAATGCAATGCTCATCTATCAGAGTGGCTAAAGTAAAAACAGTGACAGTATGTGCCCAATGCCATTGAGACTTGCTTATGTCATGAGTTACAAATTCAAGTGCATATTCCTCAAAGATCTTGGGATGAATGTGGATGTAAAGGGTGCAGCTTGCAGCATTTCCTGGAGTCAAAAGAGATAGATAAAAGCTATTTTAAGGGGGCTGGGGAGAGGTAAAAGTGGGTAATGGGGGATTTGATGGTGACAGAAGGAGACTTGACTTGGGGCGGGGAGCACACAATACAGTGTGCAGATGATGTATTATAGAACTGTACACCTGAAACCTATATAATTAGCCAATGTCACCTCAATAAATTAAATTTAAAAAGCTATTTTTCACTTTGGGAGAAACCATGAATTAAACATATACTATTTATCAAAGGGAGTAAAGCATGTAATAATGTAAACAAGTATCAATTTTTAACTCTCCCCAACACTCTTTTATACTGTGATTCTTATCATCTAGCATGATGTTTCTTTGAAATAATCAACTGATCAACTGTCATTTAATAAGGATTTTGGCTCTAAGGCAAATATTTTAAAGTTAATCATCATTCTATATACAATTGACAAAAATGAAACAAAATGAAACATCAAAAATCTAGGAATAAATCTTATAAAAGACATTCACAACCTCTGCACAGAAATCTATAAAACATTTCTGAGTTTAATAAGACCTAAATGAATGGAGGGAGACAGCATGCTCCTGTATTGGGACTCATTAATGTAAAGATGTCCCCTGTCCCCAAACTGACCTATAGATTCAATGCAATTTCAATAGGTTTGTTTTTTTGTTTGGGTGGGGGGGATGTTTGACAAACTTACTTTACAATTTATGTGGAAATGTAAAGGGCAAAAATAACCAAGTCACTCTTGAGAAAGCAGCAGGTGGTGGAACTCGGCCTATCAGGTTATGAGGACTCGTGAACCCACGATTATTATGATAGACCAACGGGAGAGGAGAGAGGTCAGAAGGTGTGTGGACACTGGATGGATGATGAAGTTAGGACCTCAAAGCAATGGGGGAAGGATGGGCTTTCTGATTAATGGTGCTGGGACAACTGTTCGTCCATATGGAGAAATGCATCAAAACCCAATTCCAGGTGGATGACAGATGACATGCAAAAGCAGAACAGTAGCCCTGATCTGTGTGGCTCAGCTGGTTGGGTGCCACCCCTGCACCAAAAGGTTACTGGTTTGATTCTGTCAGGGCACATGCCTGGGTTTTGGGTTCAATACCGGGTTGGGGTTTTGCAGGAAGCAGCCAATCCACGTCTCACTCTCACATGGATGTTTTTCTCTTTCCCTCTCCCTTCCTCTCTCTTTAAAAAGCAATAAAAATTAAAAAAAAAATCTTAAAAAAAAAAAGCCCAAAAGAAAATACCATGAAAAAGAAAAATTAGAGGACTCACTACACTGTCAAGGCTCGGTATAAAGTGACAGCCATGCAGATGGTGTGGCTCCTGCAGAAAAGGTCTTTCCTGAGACTGGTATCAAATGTTCTTTTGTTTAGAGCCTCCAGGTCTCACCCAATATAGTCAGAAAGGTCTGGGGGGACATAAAAATATTAATTCATCTGTACCTTTGCCAATAAAATGTTTTTAAAATTCAAGTTTTTTATCACTTCTTTACATAAACGTATGTCAAACTCTTAGAGCTGCAAATCTAGGTTGGTTGATTTATGGAAAACGAAAGCCAAGCCCTTCCTCCTTGTCACACAGCTCAGCCAAACAAAAACCCTTTTGATTGGAAGGTGACTTCGTTCGAGAATTCAAATGCATTTCCAGGAATATTCTGGAATCCACTGAGAATTAAGGGATGAATGTATTTTATAAGATAGGTTACTAAAAGCAGCCCAGATTAAATTGATAGAGGTCTATGGTAATTAATGTATCTATTACATAGTATGTCCCAAGAGCAAGAGAATAAGTCAACATGGTCTTTAACGGGACTTAGTTTATGGTATAACACAATGTGACACGTATCTGGAGTAACCTGCTTATGAAGCGAGGAGTATGACAGGCACGGATCTCCTTTGGTAAATGTGTGTGACTGTTAGTACTGATGTGTACTTTGGGCTTTTGAGATTAATTAAATGAGAATCACATATAAAAATCAAGTAACTCCATTCATTTAGTTACAAATCACGACTGGATTTTCCTATGGATTTAAAGAAATCTTACGGATTTTAAGCGATTGCTTAAAAACAATTGCTCTGGCAGCTCACATCTCGCACTTACTTTTTGCTGTTTGGTGCCTAATGTGAAGTATTTGATAAGACAAAATAAGATGAGGGCTGATTAATGCCCATCCAATACGAAAGAGACTGTGGAAGTTTGAGCTGGGTTTTAGCCAATGTATCTTGAAGAAGATCCCAAAAAACACTACAGTGAGGTTTCAGTTATCAATGTCACTGTGTCAACTCTCTGAAGGGCCTTTCTCTTTCCACCTGGTGACATGCCAACTAGGGTGAGTCCTGAGGTGTGGCTGTCATGGCTGGGAGGGAGGAGGGCCCCTGGCTTCTAGTGAGTGGAGGCCAGGCATGCTGCTAAGCACCCTGCAGTCCATAGGGCAGCCCCTTGAGCTTGTCCAGGTGCAGTCAATGTCACATAACCCCAGCAGGAACTGGTGTGCATGCAGGAAAACCTGGATTCACCTGGGGGACATTTCCTCCAGTCCCCTCCCCCTGGAAGCCCTGGTCTTGGCCTAACCCTTCTGAGTCCCCAGTTCTATCTGCTTTGCTCCATGTCCAGGGTGGGTCTGGGGGACCCACTGCTGACAATTCCCTTCACATGGGGACTCTGGAGAAGTGGTGTCCCCAAGGCTGGAGATACATGATGACACCAGGATTGCCCAGGGACTCCCTTCATGGGTGACATGGCCCCTATCTTGTTTTCTGCATTTACTAAGATGGAGCGAACAGGTGACTTGTAAAGGCCGCCTTTCTGTGGTAGTAACCTTGACTTGTCTAGAAGGCAAAGAAAGAAAAGAAACTGATAAATTACTGAGAGCTTTCCTGTGTGTTACTTCATCTGACAAGTCACCTGAAAAGTTTTAAATGGTTTGAAGGAAAAGAACGAAAAGAAAGGCGATTATACTGGAACCTTTACTGGTAACACCTTTTTAATAGGTCAAAGTAACTGTACAGTTCATTATATTCTTCCTGAGAATAATTTATATCCCCCAACAAACTAAAGGGAGGGTGTAGTTCTCAAAGGTACTGAGCAGAGTAGGTGGTAGCTGGACAGCAGAGAGCACTGTCTCTCGGTTTGCTGACCCCCTCCTGGGAAGACAGACACAAGGAAGGTTAGTGAGCTCCAGCGGCTGTAAAATAGTCAACATGGCTTTACTCTTTCTTTATAAATTATATAAAAATGGAAACGGAGACGGTTCCAGAACCTCTTCTCAATGCAGTTTGGAGGGGCTCTGGTACAAAGCATTTCTGCTCCCAAAGAACATTGCTACAAAAACTGGCACATTATTCTGGTGAAAAGAGTGTTTTTAGTGTGTTCTACAGCTAGTTTCCAAACACTTCACAGACCCACGTGAAAGGAAAAGGCAGAAAAAATGAAAGGGCTGTAGTTCTTTTTCTGAAATGACTCAAGTCTTCAAAATATAGCTTTTATATTCTTTCTTTGTAAAGTGGTATCAGCATATTGCAACCGAAGTGCTCTGCCGACCGCAAACGTTCCAGTCTGGGTACTACTGGATCGCCCCTCATCCTCTTGCTTCCCAGCAAGTTCTGGCCGTTCCCATGGAAACATATCCTACAGTCTCTTCATGATCCCTAAAAGCTTCTCATGGACAGTTTCATTCTCAGAAAACCACCACATTTTGGATCCTGGACTTTTCTGAACATCATGATTCAAAAAAAAAACAAAAAATGAATCCAAATCAAAATGTGGTTAAACTTATGAGAGATTATCAACCAGCTGTCAGGTCAAAAGTGTTGGTGCGGTCAGTGCTGGCACTGAGGATGGCGTCCCTGGCTGCTGGTGGCACACGGACAGATGTTGGAAAGAAGCAAGGGGCTCCTTGGGCTCAGTGTGGTCTCGTCTGCCCCAGCATCTTCAGTCTGGCCTGGTCAATGACGTCCAGCAAGTTCTTGGCATCTACGGCCAGGGCATGAGCAGCAGTCAGCATCTGCTTCTTGTACTCCTGCTGCAGGCTGGTCATGACGTACTGCTGGGCCAGCTTCATCTTGTTGATGAGCTCGCCTAGGTCTGAGTTCAGCAGCTTCTGGGCCATCTCGATCTGGAAGGATGAGAGAGGTCAGGAGAGTCGCTCCAGTGAGCTTTTCTGGGGATTTTCATGTACCTCTTAGGTGCCACCAGGAGAAAAGACATTCTTTTCAGCCCTTAAAAGCCATGGGATGTGAGTCACTGCACAGTGAGGAGCTACCAAGGGTATTGTTTAAACTGCATAAGCATGGATCCAACCCAGGGTGTCCCCACCTGCATGTCCCAGAGCAGGTGCTGTGCCTACCTCACGGTGAGTGCTGGCTGGCAGGCTGGGGATGGTCTCATCCACAGTGGCCAACAATGTCCGCAGGGCCAGGCCGACTTCCTACCAACAGGACCACATGGTCAGGTCACACAAGGCACTGCATGCAGCATGGAGCTTTTCCTTTATTACAATATTTCTGTTTATTTCCCTCGGTGCTGAGCCTGACCTTTTAAGTTATGAGGCAATCCCCCTTCCCCCCCCCATAGGTCCAGCTCTCTGATACCAGGGCTTGACTGCCCTGGGGAACAGGGTGAGGAGCGGACACTCACGTGAGAAAAGGGTCTGGGCAGAACAGGGCTAGAGCCCTGTTTTCCTTGTCATCTGGTGCTTCTACCCACACTATGCCACCACTTGCTCGCCCTCTAGGGTCAGATGTTACCGGACACACATCTCCTCAGAGTGCTCCCTGAATCTGTTCTCCCCTAGGTACTTTCTATGGCTCAGGAGGCCAGCCAAGAGGTGTCACGACTGCCACAGTGCAGGCCTACACTGAACCAGTCTGCACGCACTGAATTGTGTGCAGACACCACCACACAGAGCACTCTTTTGCCTCTTGCTTTCTTCACTCAAGAACGCATGTGGGAGCAGTAACTGTGAAATGACTGTCGCCCCAGGACATTCCCCTCCTAGGGTCTCGGACAGGAGCAGCAATTCCTGTGACGGTGGTTGTGGTGCAACACAGTCCCACCAAGGGGCCATAGCCTCCCTGAGCAGTCAGGACGCTATTCTCCTGGGACACGGTGTGATGGTCTTACCTTCACCATGGGGACATACTCCTCAGGTGGGGCTGGCTGGATCTTGCTGGACATTTCAATGACAGCCTTCACCAGGCCCGTCACGTTCTCATACACCCTGTCATTGGAGCGGTCCAGGTTGGCAGTGGGTGGGGGGCTGATTTCCTGGGGCTGAAGCTGCCAACACAGAAGCCGGTTATCTTTCTATTGTCCAGGAGGTGGCGGCATATCACCTCAACTGGGTTAGGGAAGGGCTTTAAAAGAGATCAAAGCAGATCGCAGAACTGATTTTCTTGTTTGTATGGGGTCAAGTTCACTGTGAGGATGACAGTGACATGACTCATCCCAGCAACATACATGAGATCATCATTTTTCCAACTTTGAACTCAGTTAAAGGAAATGATACGGAATCACGTTATACTAAAAAGCCCCAGATTCTCTCAGAGAAGTGATTCGATGTCCCCCCAGAATCATTCACCCAAAGAGAAAGAATCCATATCTTACACCCCACTGAGGATTTCAGAGAAGCTGGCAAAGGGGTCAAGCGTTCTGCATTAGACAAACAATTTCCACTTGGTTTGAATTCTGCAGTAGAAACTATATGGCTCAGCTGAGTTGCCTCAAGCCACCTAGGGGAGAGCTATTTCTTGTAGGATTACATACAGCAGACAAACACCGTCCCTTAACCAGACACTGTTTGCAACCCTGCTCAGGTGAAGGCCTGTGGTTGTGCCCTTGGAACAAGTGCTGCACTTCCCAGGGAGTAGCCTCAGCTCCCTCATAGGAAGGGACATATGTGAAATGACCACCCAGTGCCCGGAAACAGAGACATCACCAGATGTTATCCAAGATAAGCTGAGCGCTGAGTTAAATGGGGGCCTCTGGGAGATCTACAATGGTAATTTAAACAGTAAACTGGCAACAATGGGCCCCACCGGACAGCCCCTGTGTCTTTGCAGAGGCAAATTCAGTCCACAGCTGTGTGACCGTAAGAATCTGCTGCCTGGGCTCAGGCTACAGGGTTAGGTGCCCATTTCTGAGCTCTCGGGCAGCCTCTGCCCAAGGAACCTGAAACTCGGGCATGAGACAGAAATGGACAATAGTTCAACGCTGCAGAGCTGTTCCCGTCTCTCGCTCTGGCAACCAGAACCACTGCTGCCAGTATGAACCAAGCACAAGTGCCCTCCCCAGGCCCGGATTTCTGGTCCAGTCACATGCAGAGCGCTGGGTGTGATAAAGAGCTGGACAGACACACAGACAAGATGTGCTTACCCTCCATGGCTATTGTCGAACGGAAGGTGAGGAAAGGTTAAAGAAATTATCAGAGAGAGGGAAAAAAGAAAAACAGTATTAATAAAGGCAGCAGACAAAACCCCGGTAAACACACGAGCAGGTAAGCAGGAGTGCCCATCTGCTGGCTCTCAGCTTGCTGCAACTGAGCAGAGCTGCGGGCCACACTCAGGTTACCGGCACATCAGTGCAGGTCTGCCATGCACCACTCCTGTTTCCATGAAATAAACCTGGAAACAACATGCAAAGCCCAAGGACAATCTGGCAGCCGTGCAAGAATCAAAAGAATCAGGTCTTCAAAAAGGAAGAAGTAGTTATGTTTGTGACCACTAACTGGGCCCTGAGTGACTCAGAGGAACCACACAACCCGGCCTCTGAGCTCTAGCCCCAGCCCCCTTGGAAACGGCTGCACCACAAAAGCGGGTTCCTGGACTGAGCTGGGCTTAAGGACGTTAGGAGGTTATTTTAAAAACAAAAACAGAAACCCTTCTTTTGAAGCACTTCTTATGGTTTGGTTCCCTAAACTTACAAGTTTGATTTAATGCTTTTCTCTACAGCTTGAAGCAAGGCTACTCTACTGTGATGTAAGAGCAAAACTACCTGGGGAAATGGGGTCTCCTGTCCTCTGCTTAGAACTGTCTGAAGGAGGAGCCCTCGGGTGTGTCAGTGCAGCAGAATCCTGAATGTGCTGTGTGCGGGCACGAGAGATGGGGTCACTCGGAGCAGCATCGCCCTGCAGTGTTTGTGCCTTCCACACCAAGGGTCCGTGCGGTCCTGTGAGGGCAGGACGCCTGTGCAGACCAGACCAGCTGAAAGGGACTTCCTGAAAAGCGTTAGGCAGAGCTTGTCCACATGTACCACATGGCTCTGGACTCCAGGAGGGGAGGTGCTTATTACAGCATCTCTGTTTCTGCACCTCTTCTTTGCCCACTCCTGTCACAGCGGCCATGGTGCCGCCAGGGACCATTTGCAGTGACACTCCCAAAGCAAAAGCTTAGTGTGAACAGATATCTGTTACTGGCTTCCTATTTTCTGGAAATTTCCTATTTCTTGATAATGTGGAGACACCCAGCAGGTGGTTAGTTTAAACCTGCGTAGACATGACCAATTCCAACCACTTGGGTGGGGGCTGCTTAAAGCCTCAGATAATTCAGAACCGAAACGGAAAGCCACCAAGGAAAAACTGACACTGCTTTTTGGCTAACTGCAATTTGGGCGAGATGTTATACCTAGTTGAAGGTGAGCATTTCTGTCTAATACAGTAGTGTTCTCTTAGGCTGATTTGATAATCTGTACCAAACAATGGGTAATGAATAGAGACACACTTCACACTAATTATTAAAAACTTGTCACTTCATACTTAAGCACACTATTCCATTAAGATTTCGACTTGCTTACTATCCTGTATTAGGGGACTTCCCAGTTACATTTACTCATACGTTATTCCCACTGTGAAAGTGAGTATATGTCAGAATTCTAAGCTGGTATCTGATCTACTTCTAACGTTGGTTTTCATTGTAACATGAGCCATTTTGAAAGTTTGCTCTGTGGCTTATGAAAATGAAAAAAGTACATTAACCTAATTTGCCCTCTTTCCTTTCATTTATGTCAAGAACCCACCCTAATGTGGGTTCCTCTGCTCCTCCCCAGAGAATACCTGGTGCCAGCAGGGTTACAGGGAGGCCGAAGGAGCTGGGGTCCACTGACACCAGGCCCGAGACTGAGTTCCAGGACCAGTGCTCTGATCCCCGACCCCTGCCCGCCCGCCTGCTAGGAGCTGGCCCTGGGCTGTTGGCTGCCTCATACTGAGCCTTGAGATGACATTTTTTGGTCCCCAGCACTGACTCTGACTCCTCAAGACAGGGAGCTTTGGAGGCACCTGGGAGCACAAGCGCACCTGCAGACAGCAGGACTATAGCTAAATGCTGGCTCAGTGACTGGGAGGCCAGAACCTTGAACACACCCTGTAACCTCTGCAATCCTTGGCCATCTCATGTGAAAAGTGGGAGAAGTACCACCACTGATGCTGTGAGGCCGACATGAGCATGTGAACACACGGGACAGGCTGTCATGGCACTCGGCCTAGACAAGGCACTCCACAAGGGGTGGCTATCAGTGAACCTGAGTTTCTCAGTGACACTGTGGTCATCAGGCTCTAAGATGCCATCCAGTGTAAGATGCATCTCTACAAAAAAATGCTGCCAATGAAACCAACACACCATCCTGATTTTAGAGATAGCAAAACATGAAAAAAAAGTATCTCAGAATTGAGAAATAGAGTGAATTTGAGAGGTAACTGCTCCCTACTAGAAAGCACAGATTGCCTCTCCTCAAATGGGCATGACAGAGAAGAAGATTCTCTCCCAAGGTCCCCAGTGAGCCCAGCACCCTATGGCCCTGCTCACACCACCCTGGCAGGTGGCGGCAAGTGAAGGTTCTGTGCCATGGAGAAGCTCCTGGTCATCTGCACCCGAGCCTCACAGTACCTGGTTGGGGGACAGCTCTACACAGCACAGGCTGCTTTTACAAACGTAGTTCTGGCCTTGGATGGAAAACAATGAAAGTTTCCACTCAGCAACACTGACAAACTTGAAGACAGCCTACGGAAGGTCTTACTTACCCCAGCATCCTGGTTTAATTAATTTTTAAAACCAGAAGCCATCCCAGCACTTTATTCCAAAGCAACATTCTCCTGATAGGATGAAGACGTACTAAGAAAGTTAGGATCTGAGTGAGGCCCTAGAACTCTGTGATGTGAGAGAGAAATGGAAAAGATTTTCAGTAAAGCTTGTTCCTGACACTCAGAGGGGTTTGGAACCAAACAGAGCTGAGTCTGCAGTCTACGGCAATGCCACCCTGCGGTCCCGCCCTTAGCACAGAGTTGTCAATCAAGATAGAATGGACTCCACAGAGCCTTGAGCAGAGCCCAGGCTTCACACTCACCTTGACGCCCTCATTGTAACTGTCCCCAGGGCTGCTAAGGCTGGCAAGGCTGCCCAGGTGCCCGGGGGCTCCGGGGCGTGGTGGCTTCTTTGGCGGACCTGCAGGATCTGGAAAAGGGAATGGGTCTCATTAAGTAATGCACTTTCATAGAGAGCATGTATGCAGCTCCCACACACATGCACACACACACGGTCCTGCTATCACAGCACATGCTCCTCTTGGAGAGGCAGCCTGCTGGGGCATCTCTGGTAGATAGTATAGTAAGTTCACTCTCCAGCCTTCTTGGCATGGGCTGAATTCAGGAAACATCACACTTGCTGTGGCTCACAGAGGGAACCGTGATAAAAAATCACAAAGTATTCCAAAGCTAAGAAAGTTATACATTTAAAGCCCACTCTCTCCAAATTATACAAACATCTTGATACACAATTTCTTTTTTCATTTACCTGGTTTCCCCACAGGCTGATAAATGTGTTGGTTTCCAGTCTGTGGGAACAAAAAGTTCAGTCAGCACACCAGTTGGCACAGCAGGGTCGTGGCCACCCCTCCCTTGCCCTCTCCACCCTCCCCTTGAACATCTGTGCTAAACACTGGGTTCAAACACCACCAAGATAAAGGGCAGGGGGGACAGGCTGCTTTAAGGACTCAGATGGGGTGGGGAGGTTAGGCAAATAAGCAAATAATGCTAATGGCATGACAGGAGGGCCGTGGCAAAAGCAAGCGTGGACTATAGTCACAACTAATTTAAAATTCTCTTTAAAAAAATGGCATCCATGGATGTCTCAGGAGTGTGGTGAAATCAGACCTTCCCAGCTTCGGGCTCTTCAGGAAGCCTCTCGCACCCTCCTCACCACTCTCATTACAAGAAGGGATGCGATGGGGAACAATGATGACAAGAAGACATTTCATAGCACTGGGGTGTCTAGACACCCCACGTACCCATGTTGTCCTTGTCACTGGAAGTCCTGTGTGTGTCAGGACCTGGTGTTACACCTCCATCTGCTCTGGACACAGCCGTAGGCCAACCCAAGAAGCCCAACCATTAGCCCTGAACTTCTGTGGCAAGGACAGCTTAAGAAGGCAGTTCTACTTAGGACCAGACCAACTTCAGGTTGGCATGCCGGCAATCACACTTATGACAACTTACTCTCAAGGAAAAGATATATTTCTAGAACTCATTCTACTTGTGGAGAGAGATTTCCTTGCTTATTTTACAATAATAAGCTGGTTTATATATACATATACTTCAAGCTACTTTCTGTTCTAGAGGTCTCTTCTTTAAAGTGCACACAATTCAAACTGCACTGCCAGCCAGCACTCAAACTTGCAAAGCCCTCCGAGCCAGGAGGTGTGCAGACCAAGGAGCCCTTACCAACTGGCTTTGGTGCAGCACTCAGCTTACCTGTCACTCATCTGCTGGAGTTACTAACACTGCCTTGTTCTGGGCACAAAGCAGGCCCCCGCTGCTGGTGCCCAAAGAGGTGGAGGGAGAGGAACAGACAAAAGATGACAGCACCTCCCAGGGCTGTGAGCAGGCTGTGCCCAGTTAAAAAGGAGCTGGGGGGTGGGGGTGCAGGAAAGTGTGGTTTCAGTAGGAAGGTCAGGCCATTTGAGAACATGACCTCTGAGCAGACCTGAGGTGGGGAAGTAGAGGTGTGAGGAGCCAGGTGGCAAGAGCAGCAGCGGGCGAATGAGAAGGGCAGGGGAAGCGTGGCCCAGCCTTTAGAAACAGGGCTGTGCTGTGCCAACTGACCTGGGCCACAAAACACACACATTTTATTTTTTAAAAAATATTACAGATGTTCCTTTTTCTCCCCATTGACCCATTCCCCACCGTCCCACCCCTTTCCCCAGTCCCCCTTCACACCACTGTCCGTGTCCTTGGGTTGTGCATATATGCATATAAATTCTTTGGTTACTCTCTCCCCCTCCACCCACCCGCCCTCCTCCATCCCTCTGACATTCATCAGTCTGATCCATGCTTCCATGTCATTGAATCTATTCTGTTCATCAGTTTATTAAGTTCTTTAGATTCCATGTATAAGCGAGATCATGTGATGTTTGTCTTTCGCTGCCTGGCTTATTTCACTTAGCATAATATTCTCCAGGTCCATCCATACTGTCCCAAAGAGTACCAGATCCTTCTTTACAGCTGCGTAGTATTCCATGGTGTAAATGTCCCACGGCTTTTTATCCACTCATCTGCTGATGGGCACTTGGGCTGTTTCCAGATCTTAGCTATTGTAAACTGTGCTGCTATGAACATAGGGGTGCATATATTCTTTCTGATTAGTATTGCAGGATTCTTAGGATATATTCCTAGAAGTGGAATCACTGGGTCAAAAGGAAGCTCCATTTTTAATTTTCTGAGGAACCTCCATACTGTTTTCTATAGTGGCTGCACCAGTCTGCATTCCCACCAGCAGTGCACCAGGTTCCCCTTTCTCCACACCCTGGCCAGCACGTTGTTTGCTGATTTGTAGATGGAGCCATTCTGACAGGTGTGAGGTGATACCTCATTGTGGTTTTAATTTGCATCTCTCTGATTATTAGCAAAGTTGAGCATTTTCTCATGTGTCTCCTGGAGTCTGTGTGTCCTCTTTGGAGAAGTGTCTATTTAGGTCCTTTGCGCATTTTTAATTGGGTTGTTTGTCTTCCTCTTGCTGAGAAGTATGAGTCCTTTGTACACTTTGGAAATTAGCTCCGTATCAGATTCATCCTTGGCAAATGTTTTCCCAGACCATGGGGTTCCTTTGTATTTTGAGGCTGTTTTCTTTTGCTGTGCAGAAGCTTTTTAGTTTGATGTAGTCCCATATGTTTATTTTTTCCTTTGTTTCTCTTGCCCTAGGAGATNTTCTTTTGCTGTGCAGAAGCTTTTTAGTTTGATGTAGTCCCATGTTTATTTTTTCTTTTGTTTCTCTTGCCCTAGGAGATGTATCAGTGAAAATTCCACTATGTGAGATGTCTGTGACTTTACTGCTTGTTTTCTTCCAGCATTTTTATGGTTTTGCAACTTACATTTAAGTTTTTTATCCATTTTGAGTTTATTTTTGTGTATGGTGAAAGTTGGTGGTCTAGTTTCATTTTTTTGCATGTACCTGTCCAATTTTCCCAGCACCACTTATTAAAGAGACTCTCTTTACTCCATTGGATGCTCTTGCCTCCTTTGTCAAATATTAACTGACCATAATGGCGTGGGTCTATTTCTGGGGTCTCTGTTCTGTTCCATTGACCTATATGTCTGTTTTTGTATCAATACCAGGCTGTTTTGATTACAATGGCTTTGTAATAGAGTTTGATGTCCGGTAAAGGGATCCCTCCCATTCTGTTCTTTTTTTAAAAAATATATCTTTATTGATTTCAGAGAGAGGAAGGGAGAGGGGGAGAGAGAGATAGAAACATCAATGATGAGAGAACCATTGATCGGCTGCAGCCCACAACCCAGGCATGTGCCCTGACCAGGAATCGAACCCTGATCACCTGGATCCTAGGTCGAAGCTCACCCGCTGAGCCACGCCCGGCTGGGCCATTCTGTTCTTTTTTCTCAAGATGGCTGCAGCTATTCGGGGTCTTTTTTGGTTCCATATAAATTTTCGAGATGTTTGTTCTAGATCTGTGAAATATGGAGATTTATTTCATATAAATTACCCAAAGCAATTTATAAATTCAATGGAATTTATAAATTGCTTTGGGTAGTATGGACATTTTAATGATATTAATTCTTCCAATCCATGAGCATGGTATATTCTTCCACTTGTTTATATCTTCCTCTATTTTTTTTTCAGTGTCATGTAGTTTTCCGAGTACAGGTCTTTTACATCCTTGGTTAAGTTTATTTCTAGGTATCTTATTTTTTTAGTTGCAATGGTAAATGGTATTGTTTTAGTTTTTCTCTCTGAAAGTTCATTGTTGGTGTAAAGAATGCCATTGATTTCTGGATGTTGATTTTGTATCCAGCTACCTTGCCAAATTTGTTTATTAAATCTAGTAGTACTTTGATGGAGTCTTTAGGGTTTTCTATGCATAATATCATGTCATCTGCAAATAATGGCAGTTTTGTTTCCTCCTTTCCAATTTGGATGCCTTTTATGTTTTCTTCCTGTCTGATGACTGTGGCAAGGACTTCCAATACTATGTTGAATAAGAGTGGTGAAAGTGGACACCCCTGTCTTGTTCCTGTTTTTAAAGGAAATGGTTTTAGTTTTTGACCATTGAGTATGATGTTGGCTGTAGATTTGTCATATATGGCCTTTATTATGTTGAGGTGTTTCCTATATTCCCACTTTGCTGAGAGTTTTTATCAGAAATGGGTGCTGGATTTTGTTGAATGCTTTTTCTGCATCTGTTGATACGATCATATGATTTTTGTCCTTCATTGTGTTTATGTGATGTGTCACATTTAGTGATTTGCGGATATTGTACCAGCCTTGCATCCCCGGAATAAATCCCACTTGGTCACGGTGTATGATCTTTTTAATGTATTGCTGGATCCGGTTTGCTAGTAGTTTAGTGAGGATTTTAGCATCTGTGTTCATCAGGGATATTGGCCTGTAATTTTCTTTCTTTGTAGTGTCTTTATCTGGATTAGGATGATGCTAGCCTCATAAAAAGAGTTTGGGCCCGGCTGGGCGTGGCTCAGCGGCTGAGCGTCAACCTAGGATCCAGGCGATCAGGGTTTGATTCCCGGTCAGGGCACATACCCGGGTTGT